GACCTGGTGGCTTGCTTTCTCACTCTCCCTTTCTCTCTCTCGCCATCTCTCTCTTGTCAAATTAAAAATAATAATAACAAATGGAGTTAAATAAAGCTACAAGTGGGAAACAGCAGTTAGCATAATGGCTATGTTGCTGGACTCCCACGTAGTCAACCACGGTTTGCATCCTGGACCCGGTGGCTTAGAACTCACGCCAGGCGCGTGTGCGTGTGTGCCCAAGATCCCGAGAGGAGAATGGAGGAGAAGGGATTGCAGCGTGGCCATCCCCCCTGGGGGGTGATTTTTTTTCTTTCTGTCTGTCTTTCTTTCTCTGTCTTTCTGGTGAGCGCAAAGGTTTTTCCTATAGCAAAAACCTCTCCAAAACAAACAAACAAAAAAACAACCTAAGAATGAATCTCAAATATACAATAAATAAATAAAATAAAATAGAGCTACAAGTCCAAGCAGGCAGGGGCCTCCCGGTAGCTTTGTATGACTCTCCCCCGTGGCCGGTGGGGCTGACAGTTCCTTGGGCAGAGGGATCGCAGGCTGCTTTTCTAGTCCCTGGGCTCACTCAGCCTCGCCCTCCGCCCTCAGATCCCCAGCTTGAGTCACAGCGTGCTGTCACAGACCAGCTTCAGGGCCGAGTACAAGGCCAGCGGCGGCCCCTCCGTCTTCCAGAAGCCCGTCCGTTTCCAGGTGGACATCAGCTCCTCGGAGGGTCCAGAGCCCTCTCCACGACGGGACGGCAGCGGCGGCGGTGGCATCTACTCCGTCACCTTTACTCTCATCTCTGGTGAGTTTGTCTCATCTCGACTGCCCCCAACCCAAGTGTGAGAGGTCCAGAACATCGAGATGCTCGAGACGTCAGATCGTGACTCGGGAGTGTAGCTGGAGGACACCTGTGCCCCTCGCATCCTGTCCTTCCCGCTCCCGACCACTCAGCGTGAGTATCGGTGCAGAGTTCCACTGAGGCGTCTAAGCAGCCTCAGAGCTAGTAACCACTGTTTACTCAGGAGAAAACTCAGTTCTAGAGGGAGAAGCAGACTTAGTGGGGGGCTCTGCCCAGGCCTCCTGGCCTCGCAGGAGAGAGCAGAGCTCTTCCCGAGACAGCAGACCAAAAGGCAAAGGCCCGTGATCTGCAGTGGGACCGCGGTTCCCCACGTAGCATGGACTTTGCCACTCAGTGGCCACTTCAGACACTAACCGTCAGCCACAGTCTGCTGGGAGGTGAAGACACAGGTGTGGATGGGACCAGCAGACGGCATAATGATTATGTTGCTGGACTCCCACATGCGCGACCGCAGTTCAAGTCCTGGACCTGACAGCTTAAACTCACACCGGGCGCATGTGTGTGTGCCCAAGATCCCAAGAGGAGAATGGAGGAGAAGGGACTGTGGCGTGGCCATCCGCCCTGGGGGGTGATTTCTTGCTTCTATCTCCGTCTTTCTAGAGAGCACACACACCCTATAGCAAAAATCTCGCTTAAAAAAAAAACCCTAATATGTGTGGGGCCAGCAGGTGGCATAGTGATTAAGGTACTGGGCACCCACATGGCTGACTGGTTTGAATCCTGGACCTGGTAACTGGAAATTCAGGTGCACGTGAGTGCCCAAAATCCTGAGCGGAGAACGGAGAAGGGTCGTGACATGGCCATCCTCCCTGGAGGTGATTTCTCACTTTCTCTCTGTCTCTGCCTGCCTCTGCTGAGTGTGCGCACCCTATAGCAAAAGTCTCTGTAAAAACACAGTCGACCTGTGAGGCCAGCAGGTGGCATGGAGGTGAAGGCGCTGGGTTCCCACACGGACGAGCACAGTTGGAGCCACAGACCAGGCAGCTTAAAAATCACGCGAGATGGTCTGTGCGTGTGCCCGGGACGCTGAGGATGGAGGAGAGGGGACTATGGCATGGCCGCCCCTCTGGGGGCCATTTCTCACTTCCCTAGTCTCTGTCTCTGCCTCTCTCCAGCTGTGCCCCATGGAGGGGGCATGCACGCCTCTCTCCATTCCCAGGCTTCTTTATCTCCTGGCTCTTCACAGCCCCCGGACACCAAGGAGGAGCCGCATCTGCTTAACAGGCGCGACCCCTACCGCTCCCCCAAGCTCAGGCGTGACTGTGCTTCTTAAATGGCAGCACAGCCCCGTTACCCCAGGCGTCTGCCTGCCTCGCCAGAGCTGAGACACGAGGCCGGGCAGGACAGCCATAGCTGGGGACCCCCTCCCCGTCCGTCCCGTCAGCCTGTCTCCCTGCCCTGTGCCCCCAGGTCCCAGCCGCCGGTTCAAGCGAGTGGTGGAGACCATCCAGGCGCAGCTGCTGAGCACCCACGACCAGCCCTCCGTGCAGGCCCTGGCAGGTGGGTGGTGGGGCCTGCGGGCGGCCGGGTGCACCGAGGCCGGGCTTCCTGTGGGGTGAGCTGAAGCTCACCTGCAGGCTGGGAACAGCTTCCCCAAGAGGCCGGAGGCTGAGCAGGTATCCTCGAGCAGCCTGGAGCCCGGCCTGCGGCGGGGGGGGGGGGGCCCCAGCGGCACGGGGCCCCCGGG